CATTTTGGAATCAAACAACCTCCTCTCTCCCACCCAGTGTAGTTTCTACAGGCAGTGGTCCACCAAAGACCATCTAATTCAACTTGAAACATCAATGGCTTGTTACCATCCCCACTTATGACCTTTCTTTGAGTCATCTGAAGCTGTAGATTACTCCTGACTGGAAGTATTGTCTTCTGTTTGCTGAATATCTTAAGCACCATTCTTCTGTTTCTGTTTCTTTGCAGATGGTTTGAAATCTGGTAACTCTTTGGGCTCCGCCATTGTTTTCTGTGTCTTGGTGGTTGCTCATAGTATCTCCTCTACAGATTCTGTGTTCATTGCAGAGTTGTTTGCAATTTCACTTGCTTTGGATCATATAGAAACTCTGCAGTACATGAACTGTATTATCTATACTGACTTTCTTATCTCTTTGATGGCTCTGGAATTGCTTAATGTGAGTTCTCACCCAGTTCTCTTGTATTTACAAAAAAACAGCTGGTCGTCTTCTCTTTATCACCAATTTCCATTCAGTTTTTCTTGATTCCTGGTCGTGTTGGTATTTGTGAGAATGAGCTTGCTGACACAACAGCTAAAACCTTCTGCTCTGGCATTCTCACAGACCTGCCTGTCCATTATTTGGTCTTCTGACCTATAATCGAGGCATGGCTTCACACCAATTGGTGGTCGATTTGGACTACTCCAAATGCAAAATGATTTTCATGTTAAGGTTAGAAATACTTCTCTTCATCTGAAAATTTTTAAATTTCATTTGTATAATCTCTAAAATCTTCTAAATAAATATCAAACGTTTTTTTTTTCAATAAACTTTTATATTCTGTTATTTTGTCTACCCTAATTGCATATGGACTTGGTCAATTTTATCGACCTTGTAACCACCATAAATTACCCTTTTTTCTTTCTGGAATGACTGCAGATTGTAACAGAAAATTACATTTGTTTGTCCTAAAGAACTTAAGGCTCATAACATTTTACATGTGTTTTATTGTTTTATAACATTTTGGACAGTGACCAACTAAGAATCTTGCCACAAAAGTTGTAAATCACTCAACAAGTGTGTAGCTCACGTTACTGTACTGAATGGTGTGATGCACGAGTTGCTCATGAGCATACCTTGTGAAGAATTTTATTTAATTTTCTTACTTAATCTAACTTTAATTTAATAAGTTTCTATTTTTTACATTTTAGTTACTTTTAGAACAATAGATAAAGAATGTACATGAAAAAGAAGAAATATAGTACTTACCTTTGACCTCTTGTTTTTCGCTGTTGGTTGCCAGAAAAATTTAAGCATACTTTTTTATAGTGATGGTGCTACTACACTAAATAATTTTTATTTACTTAAATAATGCATCTAAGAACACAATAAAAGCACAAACAGAGCAAACAATGTTCTATTACTATTATAATTTAACTGGCTATCTAAATAAGACAAAATTCCCTTTATTGTTTAAACTGAAGACAAAGTTGACAATATTCTGTACTGAAAACAATGTAGCATTATATGTCATTTGACAGATTGAAACATTGCCTTTCTATTAGTTTTAAACAATTTAGTATAAAATGTAAGAGAGAATTTTTGGCTATTTGTGAAAGAGAGGATGTGACATGTTGGTGTGGCAAGTGGGTCTTATTTTCTAGTTTATGATTCTATAAACAAATAACATTAAAGAGTATAAAAATTAGACTTTGTCATAATAATATCTGTATTTTAGTGAGTAATTTATGTTAAACCCTTGCATGGCCAGATTAGATAATGATAACTCCACAAATTCATTTCTGTTATGCTAAAAGTGCACTGATGTTAGTTGACTGGAGTAGGACTTCTCTGTTTCATTGTTTGTCTCCAGCTCTATATTGAGCCAGTTCACACTAAACAACAGTTGGATCTATGTTGGATATGCTCAGCTACCTACATGTTCATGTGTATGATTTCAGTCTACTTATCTTCCTTTAAGGCTTAATACATGCATTTTGGGTCCAACATAGCTTTTAGTTGGACAAGATGAAAATAGAAGTAATGGTAGTTACAAAATGTTATAATCAAGCACTGTTCTTCAGCTGTTTCCAAAGAGTTTGCATGGTGCTGCCTCTATTTTTTTTTTAAGATAGGGACAATTTCAAGCATTTTGTGATTTTCATGATTTATGAGCCAGGTCCATTACTCAATTCACTTATACCTTGGAAACTTTATCATTCAGTATGTTGTAAGGAACAACTCCAGCATTATTTTTTTCTTTCAGATGCATGTGTCTGTAAGCAAGCAATCATTCATTACATTACACATAACTCATTATCACTTATTATTCATGAATTGCATTATACATTATACATATATTTGAATTATAAATTACTGCTTACATTATGAGTCAGTCTTCTCTTCCAAGGCCTATGCTACTAGTAAAGTTAAAACTATGATGTTAGAACTCAGTTATTTATATGATAATGAATGTCATTGAGCTTAATCCACCACAGGTAGCTAAATTGTTAAAGTTCAAGCAGCTGGAGAATGAAACAGATATTTATGTGATTCTATATGAATACATACCTTTAAAGTTTCCAGTAGCAGCACTTGTTGATTTATATGCAACTGCACCATTAAAATGGATGCTGTGAAACTATATCTGGCTCAAGGACACAACAGCATAATGCAGGCCAGCCTCAAATTCGCAACTGTGTGATTATGAGTTGAAAGCCACTGAGCCAAGCTGCCCCTAGTTTATAACAAAGCTGTCTTCTTCTAAACCTTACATTTAGTGAATCTAAATGTTGTGAAACTTGAATACTCAGTTCCAATGGTGTGTCTTTCAATTTTCTTTTCTTTCTGGGGTGATGCTATATCAAGGAAGTTCACTTTACATGGGGCAGTAATAGCATTTGATGGCCAGTTGATTTAAGAATGGCTGGAATCACCAAAATTACCCATTAATTGTTGAAGTTATGGTCTTAAAACTGTGTCAGATAATTGGGTAAATTAAGTTGCTGGTCTTACTTTTCATTCTTATCTTCCTGCAAAAAAAAGAAAAAAAAAGAAAACAAATTTGTAATTTAGTTATTAGTAGTTAATTGACATACAATTTGTTTTTAGTATTCAATCAGTCTTACACATTATAGATAAAGGAATATTTTATAAAGCATATTTTCATATTTCAAATCATTGAAATATGATATTTGTATACTAATGATAACAAGGACAAATTGTAAGTTAAAGGAATCAGGTGCTGTTTATATGTATAATTATTGTAGGGGAAAGCATTTAAAGGATATGAGGTAAAATTTTAAGTGATTGTATTTTTAATGCTATGCCAGAAAATTAATACTGATACAGATTATGAGGCAGGCCATCTAGATATACAGTCAGTTTTGAAACTTGTTATTTTAAATCTGTCCATGTGTAAGTGCAAGAAACAAGAAAAAGTGAAAATGGGTCTCCATTTTGAAAATTGAAATTATATTAATCGAAAATTAAGAAATGTATTCTACCCAGAAAGGCAAGGAAAGTGGTTCGAAATTTGGCTCGTATATTCTCATAATATTCAAAAATATAGTCAGTATAAAATTTTAAATGACTGCTGTTTTTTTTTTCAATATTCAAAGTGTGGAAATGCCAAGATTTGACTTTCCCGTTACCAACAGGAAGAATAGGATGCCATATTCTATGGTTAACTAAAATTGGCCAAATAGTTTTTTTAATTTTATTAACACCTTGCCAGAACTTAAACTTTTCACAATATTTATTGATGGGATTGAACTCTTCTCTCTTATTATAATTTTGTAAAATTTGCATAGCTCTTCATGTTTAGGTTTGGTTCACAGTGGAAATAAACAAGGCTAATCCCTGCTTAGAATATACCTATTGCAATGTTATATAGGTTAGGTCCTTTTGTCAGTAGCTAATAAAGGTAATAGTTCGGTGACTGAACATTTAAAAATCATTACAGATTTTATGGGTTGTGGGCACTTCTTAACTCAAATGCTTACCCAATCAAGTGACATAATGTGCATCTACAGTATATTTGAAATTGATCTTTTTTTTTTCTTGAAATAGTGCCAGATGCTACTTGTTTGCTTGGGCATTTTTCCTGGAATTTTGAAAAATAGTTCATATTTTGTAAGACAGTTAATTGAAAGAGAAACTGTTACAAAGAAAAAAGGTTTAGATTTGACTTGGTAACCAACCTGTCATCAAGCTTTTACTTCGAAAATACTCCTGTGGTTTAGAAGTACATGTAGTTCAAAAGTAACAGAAATAAGAAAATTTGAGTTATCTTTAAGACATTTCTTCAAGTAAGTATTGTTTTGTTTGTTTTGAATTTTGCGCAAAGCTACATGAGGGCTATCAGTGCTAGCCATCCCTAATTTAGCAGTGTAAGACTAGAGGGAAGGCAGCTAGTCATCACTACCCACCACCAACTCTTGGGCTGCTCTTTTACCGACGAACAGTGGGATTGACCGTCACATTATAATGCCCCCACGGCTGAAAGGGCGAGCATGCTTGGTGTGATGGGGATTTGAACCCGCGACCTTCAGATTGCGAGTTGAGCGCCCTAACCACCTGACCATGCTGGGCCTCAAGTAAATATAGAATATAAATAAAGAATATCATAGCATCATTTCAAAAAAGAAGCATAATTAATTATTTTTTACATATGTACATGAAGTAGATGCCAGACAATAGACATTCATAACAAATATAGAGACAAAAAATGGTTATTGATAATAATTTCAACTCTTTCAGATTGATAGCAAGAACTTCTGGTGCTATTGTTAGAATTTTTATGTTTTTTTTTTCTTTTCTGTTGATAAGTAATTCTTCAAATTTTTGATTTTGTAATTGAATTTATTTAACCTTAAGATTATTAAAGATTGAGCTGAAAATTCAAATATTAATTAAGAATTTAGTACTCACATGTACAATACCAAATACATTTATTGTAAAATTTGAAGTGTGTACAGATTAGATAGTTAATACAAATAAAAGCTTCTTGTTACTTTTACAGGCCTCCTCATTTTTCTCTGAAAAATCCTGTAGGACTTTCAAACCATGCAGTTGAAGAATTAAGAGAACAATTAGTAGAAATATCTGAAAAATTGAAAGGAGAGGTAAGGAAGATTCTGAGAAACGTTTTGAATTTGTTGGTTATCTGGCATTTCTGGTTGTACATGTATTATAATGTAAAATTATAATATGAATGGATGTGCATATAGTTAGTTACAAGGTTTCTTTGATACATTTTCTAAATATTTTTACCTCTAGTTAGCCAAGATCATTAAACTGTTCCTTGTAACTAGATTTTTTTGTAAGAAGTTAGAATATATAGCTAGTGTATAAACGTAATTTCATGCTGGACTGTTAATACTTTTGTTTCTTCACTTTATTGATAGTTCAGTGGTGTTACGTAAAACAATTGTGTAAATTATGTTGAAATCTTAAACTTGATGGATGTGAGTTACCCTGCCATTTTATCCTAGCCAAGTTGGTGAGTCCTGATATTGGTCAAAAAGTTGTATTGACACTGGATATGGTAAATATAATGTGGTTAACATTTTATGGTAAATCGTTCTCTACCTTCATTCCTAATTTTTTAAATTGACTCGTATTATATTGACTCTTACACTGACCTAGCAGTTCATTGTTAAAGATGCATGATTAGACCAATTATAAGCTATGATTTGGTCCTAATTCTGACAAATGGAAAAGTGGGACAATTTGGTTTCACTTGATTGAAGTTATTTCTTTGAATAAAGTTAATTTTACTTACAGAATTGATTTTCTTGTATGGAAATCACTTTTATATCAGAAAAATTCATAAACTGAGAATTACATAATATTTCTTCTCTATTTGAATAGTTTTGTCTGTTCACATCATATTAGTTATAGTTAAATTATTTATGCCTTTTTCCACCTGAATAAGTTATGACTAGGGTCTTGGTGGTCTATGTAAACAAACATGTATTTACATTTAACTGTATTATTTCTTCACTTATGCATTTACTCCAAAAAAATCCTCACATTTTATAAGGTTTTAATAATCATATAGATGTTTTTTAATTTCACACAAAGAGCAAATGTGTTGTTGTATCTCAGAATTTCTAGTGCATTTTGGAGAGATTTACACATTTTGGCAATAAAATTAGAAGAAAAATTAGATTTACTCTCCAGATAATACTAAAAAAAACATTTTAGTTCAGCAAATGCTTTACAATTACAGCTTTATCAAGGCTAGTAGTACATAAATTGTTCTGCTAATGGTGAAACATTGGCTAATTTTTTTTGTATTACTATCTGGAGAGTGAAATTCCTTTTTTATCTAACTGTTAGTGTATCATAGAAAATTACAGTTTTATGATTACATTAAAGATTTAGAAAAGATAGACAAATAGTTATGGAACCATCAAAAGTTTTTAGCTAGTATATGTCATATTTCAAACCAAAAATATGTAAATAGTGAATGTCTAACCTGTGTTTTCACACCACGAGTCTACTTTGAGGAAGCCTTTTAGTCAGTATTAGGACTTTACAGTTGGACTGAACCTACATTAACAAAAAATCTGAAATGCTTTTTATTTGCAATACTAAGAATGACATAAGATGCTATGGCTAGCAAAGTGAGAAACATAAATTCAGATTGTAAGTTCATTATAAATTTCAAATATTGAAAGTTTTCTGTTGAAATGAAACAAGAAAAAAATGTTACTCCTTAATGTTTTATCACTACATGTTGCAGAGAAGGACAAGGAAATTTATTGTTTTTTTCTGGAAAAAGTATAATCGTGATCAGAAACATTGTTATGTATGTTAGAAGATAAAAATATGTCCTACATGTTTTTGATTTTTAAATTTTTATTTGTAGAAATTGGTTTTTCCAAGCATAATAAAGATTTGAAAATTATGAATGCTTCAACTATTAGTATAGTGACTGTAATGTTATATAACCGTAATATGTAAAAGTAAGTCTCTCTGTTCTGTCCTGTACATGGTATTAAGGACTTCATAATCTTAAAAACACTTAGGTAATGATCTTGGAACTGGCTCAGCATGTTCAAAAGTATCTTCATCTTCACAACACACCTCGCTACCAATCATTTTATGATGAGATGTTAAGTAATAAAAAACATTTGGAAGAGAAGCAGGCTGAAGCATTAGAGAGGCAAAAAGAAAGACAGAAACTGCTTGAAGAAAAACAGGTTTGTATTATTTGTACTCTTAAGAAATGGTGTAGTACAGTCATTATTTGATTGTTACCTCTAGATACTACCTCTACAAGAAAATCATTATTTTTTGGAAACATTTGCAAAATCTGAACTTGGTCCATACTAAGTTCATTCAACAAATGCATTTTCATGTAATGACTTTATAGATTTCATGTGCAAGTTTTGTATTTGTGAAATATTTAACACAGCTATCTTTGAAACAGTTTTTAAAAAGTGAAAGAAAAAAGTACACACAGATTGTACATCATTATAGTCCTTAAACATTATATAATCACTATACCCACTTCATGGCATTAATTGCTAATGATAAAATAAAAAGACAATTTCTGAACAATGCCAGCAAATGATATAATAATTAATCAGTTCTCAAACAGATTTCAAGGACTTTAATAAACATTGTATCCTTTATTTATTTTGGAATTTAATGAAATGTTGTATTGTGCAAATACTGCACATTTTACAGTATGGTGGTATATACTTCATATAAATAAAATATTTTTTTATTTTTATCAATCCTGATTTATAATATTTTAAATATGTTCAAGGTTGTATGTTAAAATCAGCCTGAGGTGTTACATGTTGTAGCTTGGCCAGTCAAGAACCTTATCTACTTTTTCACAGGATAGTTGCATTGTGTCCTTCTTGACCTTGTTTTTAGGGGATCCCATGTGATTGTCATATGGAGCAGAATTATTTCCAATTAAAGTGCTTATTTTCTATTTGTGAATGCAGCTTTCATTCTGAATTTTGAGTTAATTTTTATGATCTGAGAAAACCAAAACGTGCCATGATGTTCTGTCATTGTTCATTGTGTTCTATTGATGCCAATACAGTCATGTATTGTTTAGCCTTATTGCCAGTGCAGTTGTTAAATATCGTATATGTCTGAGTATAATGCATGCCCAATTTTGAAAGGTTAAACTGAAGAAAATTTGTTTTTTTACACATCATTTGTATAAAATGTATTGAATAGTTTCTAAATATAGTAAACAACTATCAATGTATTAAACATTTTTGGAAATCTTGAAATTTTTTTACATGTCAATTTTACAAAATTTATTGAAAGTTTATGTATGGTAATACAATAAGCTAATCATTCATCTTCACATAAATTTTTGTCATCACTAGAATTGTCGCTACCATTGGATTCATCGGATTTTCTTCCTTGAACTTTTTATTCATCCTCTTCTTATTCCTACAGCATGTCATCATCTGTCTCATCCATTGCATTGGATATGCAACATTTTTTGAAACCTTTAATGATGCTTTAATGATTTTTGGTTGTAGCTTCTAGTAAGATACCTAACAAAATTGAATGTGCAATCAGTTTTTTGGAGGAAAAAAGTGCACATTATGTTTAGGCAAATATAGTGTAGTCATCTCATGTATAAATTTTCCAATTACGTGTACTTTAACTTCACTGTTTATTTTGCATATTAACTTCAGAATCCTGCAGTAGTATTACCATTAGCAATCAGCCTGTTTTTTTCTCTCTCTTCCTCCACTAATATAGTGTTTCATTTTCATTTCAACCTCACACCATGTCTTGTCTCTCTCATTTCATCTGTAACAAAGTGCTACATGTATTCTTCCACATATTAGATTCATGAACCTCTTGTTTTTAGTAGAAATTGACTGTGAGCTTGATTTTTCTATAAACTTCTACAATGTCAGTTTAATACTATCTCATCTTGCCAATGAAAATGACTGACTGTACATAAATTTCTAAATGTTTATAATGAGATTTAAAAATGTAAATGTTCTTTTTGTAAGAAATTAACCAACATAATGCTTCTTTTACTTACACATAGGAATTAAGTGTAAAAATTTTTCTTCAGAAATTCAGATAAAATAAATCCTATATCTGCACTCAAAAATATATTTAGTGACTATGATGCATTAAGTGGTGTAGCAACAATACAATTTACTGGGTTGTTGGGTCGATTGTGGCCCAGTAGTTAGTGTACTGGATTATTGATCTGTGGATCCATCATTTGCATCCTCTTAACACACATGAAAAAAAAAGTTAAAATCTTGCCATATACTTTGAGAAATTTGGTGCATTATAAGTGTGACAGTCAAATTTTACTATTCTCAGTGCTGTTAACAAGTTGCCTTCTTTCTAGTCTATCAGTTCAAAATTTGGGACTACTAGAATAAATAGCTTTGACAAAATGGATTGACAGAATATTCATTCATAGCTTTGGGTATCAAAATATCTTAATTTTTAGGAATTTTTATCTTGCTAATTCTTGTGGTGTTTTCTGGTTGTAGCTATTAAACACATTAACCCTTTATCATCCATGGAAGAGTTTTTTTCATTACCATACTTGGTATAAATGTATGGGTGGAGATGATGTCTGGCTTGACTAAATATTTAGGTGGAAATGATAAAGGGTTAATACGAATTTTTCAAAAGATAGATTTATTTATTTATCATTGTGATACTATTACTAATAAACTGATTTATTGCAACATTTGTAGAGGCAAGCAATTCAAGAAGAAATACAGAGGAAGAAAGAGGCTTTGAAAGAAGAAGCAAGAAAAAGAAGGGAACAAATACACCAGGTAAATTAGAATTAAAAATTTTGACTCCCAAAAAATTTGATTGAGGAAAGTAATGTATTAGTAAGTAATAAAGAAGTGCCAATAATTTTTTCTAGGTTGAACTGTAATAATATATGTGTGTGTGGCTCTGTGTGATTACATTTTGGTCATTTTTTCTATCAAACACATTAACTTCCATGATCCTTCAGAAAATTATAATTCATTTGCAAAGCCTTGTGTGTTAGGCTTATTTCCGAAAGTATGTGTAAACAAATTTGTATTTAATTACATGAGATTCATATAGAAACTGAAATGTTGAAAAATAATTTACAGATAGTTTCTAAATTATGAAGGCATTACATTATAAACACTCTACAGAGCAGTTTAACGGTAATTTGAACATATAAAAATATTATAGTTATTAAAAGGTACGACTGCTGTTTTAAAGTAATAGTAAACACCCTACTTAGTGGATTATTAAGCAAATCAGGCATCTAATGATGTGATATGAAGTGAATGGTCATTCAGACCGTGTCATATATAGTTATCTTATACAATCTTTTTTTTTTATTATTTTGCACTTTTTCAAGTGATCATAAGAATTTCTGAGGGAAGATGAAGAGTGTGTAACAGTGTAAAATCCCACCACATCTGCTGTTTTCAGTGCTGACAATGTCTTTTGCTCAATATCAGTGCTCTTCAGACAAGCTAGGATGTGGCAGTTATTTTGTAGGCTTTAGCATTTCTATATAAAAGCTATAGCCCTTAAGTATTCAAAAGCTATGCTATAGAAATGCTGTAACACTTTAGGGGTCTATAAGCCATTCTATAGAAATGTTATAGTCCTTCTTAAGATATTCAAAGGCCATTTTTTGGCAATTTTATAGCCCTCTTAAAGTTAATTTATAACGGTTCTCTAGCTCTTCTATAGTTAATCTGTATTCATTCAGTAGAAATGCTATAGCCCTTCTGTAGTTAGCCCTCTCTTCTTAGGCATCTTTTTTGCACATGTCACAAGGTTTTAGTAAGTTACATTCAAAATTTAATTAAACTTCTTTCTTTTTATGATGTACCAATAAATATAGTATAAAAATGTAGCTAATAATCCATATGTTAACCCTATTGTCCAAGGTACCCTTTACTGAGCATGATACAAGGTTTTAGTATCTTACATTCAAAATTTTATTAAACTTCTTTTTGTTTATGTTATACCAATTAGAATAGCATAAATTATAAGCTAATAATCCATACTTTAATAGTATACAAGTTTTAAGTTCTTAATTATACAAGGAAATATATAAACAAATCTTGAATTTCCACTAGTGCAACACACGTGATACATTTTGTCTTAGCATGTCATCATCCCCGTTTTATCCATCACCCCTCGAAAATGTACGAAATTAAACACAAAATACTTTTTATAAAATCATTATTGCTCAAACAGACCATAATTTTTATAGCCTTCAATGTTGTTTGGTAACAGAGCTATCGAATAGAAAATCAGACCCCTCCTGCCATACCCACCTGTCACATACTCTCTTTCACAATTCGTTGATAGTTCTCTCTTATATTTCATTATATATTACC